CTCCTTTTTTTTTTTTTTTTCCCGCTCCTTTTCTTTTCTCTCTCTCAATTTCACCTCACACTACCTACCTTTACCACTACTCCTAATTGTAGGCATCTGGGCCGTGGTCCCACTAGCGAAGGGGATAGGATAGGAATCGTGAATCTGGCTATGGTTTATGCAGGGGTATAGAAAAGCAGTTCTGACTCGATTTCCTGCTCCTGTCCTCAAACACGTCCAGGCTCAGGCATTCAATCCGACGCTCTTTGCTAATGGGACCACAGCCCCGGGGAACCCCATAGCAGCCAGAACCGTGTTCACGAGAGAACATGCGAGGGCTGCTCCCGACACCGTGGCCTCCAGCATTACTATATAATATACCAATTATCTGACTGAAATTGGAGGCAGGATTCGATCCCCCCAATTATCTCACTGAAATTATGCAGGATTCGATCCCCGGATCTCCCAATCAACAATGACATGTGTAGTGTGGTTTCGGGCTCTTCCAGAAGCGCGGAAGAAAGCCGGCAGAAGCCGAATTCGTTTTCTTGTTTGTATTTTATTTTTATTTTTATTTTTATTCTATTTTCATTTTTATTTTTATTTTTATTTTTATTTTTATTTTTATTTCGTTCTTGTTTCGAATTTCCAATAGTTTTCGAATGTTCCAGAGAGCATTAGAAAGTTCGGCGGGCACTTGTCGAATAAGCGAAAGCATGGGGTCTATCAGCCTCGCTGCACAACTCACCACGTGCACAAAAGACAAAAACTACGGCAGTGTATATCTCCCTGTTCTTGCGGACGATTCATTCTCATTTCTCAGCACGTTTGGTGAGTAGTCGCGCCAGGCCCGTATGCCTACTATCTAATCTACGGTGGAGCACCACGGAACCTTCTACGCAATGTGATGAATCATCTGGGACCCAAGCCCCATCTATGCACTCGCGCGCGTTTTTCTTTTCCCCCTCCCCCCCCTTTTTCATCGACGGCCGTCGATCTCGACAATCTGTATGGCCAGATACGGAAAAAGGCGCGCTAGAGTGGTCCGTCACTGGACCGGACCGGACCGGACCGGAAGACCTTTGCGCGACCGGCGGAAACCTGTGCGCTCAAGCGCGGGGTCCCGGGGGGCCCGGGGGATGTGGTGAGAGTGTGTAGTTGGTCCGGGGCAAGGTCCCACTGGCACGGATTAGGAGATTTCGGCCGTTGATCTTTGATATCTACGGTCAGTATCTCTTAATTCGTGCAAGTGGGACCTAGGCCCCGTAACGAGAAGGGAAGTAGGAGAGAGTAAATTGCATATGCACATATGCACACTCGTTGGGTCGATTTGAGTTGGTGTTGGGGTGCCTGGCTGTTTTGTGCTACGGGTAGTAGAGGAGGACGGGGAGGAGGGAGGAGGTTGAACGAGGCTGTCAGGGCGTTGTCGCACGAGAACTTCTTCCTCGAACGAGAACTTCTGCTACCGAGCTCTGGACGTGATTGCGGTGAGATTCATACTGGTTTGGCTGTAATTGAAGTCAGAACACATTTAGCGACGTGGTAGTGTGAGTGTGCACTCAGATTGGGAACGAGAGTGGGCTGTTTGTGTCCATGTAGGACCGTTTGTGTACTTGTACGGCGGGCGAGTGCCGAGAACGAAGGCGGGGCGTTTATTGTGGCGGCGGGTAATTCGGGGTGAAGTAGAGAAGGTGGGTAGGTATTCTTTTAAAAAAGCCGGCCGAGCAAAAAGAAAACGAGGCGTTTGCATACAGAGAGGGGATTGGTAGTAGAGAGAACAGATTGATCGGAAGTAATTGGTCGTTGGGTATTATTACGTAATAAAGAGTCGAGATTCTTTAAAAAGAAAATAAAAAAGTAAAGAGTCGAGAGGAGATGTGGCTTGATTACTTGTCGCGCTGTTTGTAAATGGACTGGGTGATCGTCGAGGCGTGTTCTCGTTCTCGTTCCGTGATTACTAATTAATAAGGAGTATTACTACTAAAGAGTAGAGAGGAGATGTGGGGGTTTGATTACCTATCTGCATATTTCGGCGGGTGATTGCTTTGGTAGGGGTTTTGGTGAAGTCCTTTTGTGGGGACTGTCGTTATATGTTTGCGTCTAAACGAATTCGATGGTGTGCTCTGCCCCCTTCTCCTTTCTCAGGTACAGAGAAAACCTCCGTTCACTGTTGATGATTTGAAGTGGTTATCTTTTGTTCTTCCCCCCTCCCTTCTCCTCCCCCTCCCCCCCCCTCTCTCCTCCCCCCCCTCTCTCCTCGCCCCCTCTCCTCCTCCTTCAACAAATAAGAGAGTGAGTCTGCCAATTCTGCGCACTTGGTCTCAGAATAGCAAAATGGGCTTCCATGTTTCGAGTTTGCCTGATGATGTCCTTTTTAGGAAAGTTACTGTTCACTGTGCGGTACCGAAGTGGGCATCAGACGACCAGATGCAAGGAAGAAGTATGTCTTTTTTAGGAACATTTAAAAGATTCCTTTGTCTTTTTTAGGAACATTGAAAAGATTCCTATGTCTCTTTGAGGAACATTGAAAAGATTCCCCGAGTGAACGAAACTTCAATCGAAACTTCTATCGTCTTCCCCGGAAACAGAAAGCACGATCATGACAGATGCATCTGGGGCAACTTTCAGTCTGGATACCGCTGCGATAATCACCGTGCCGTCTGTTCGGTGGAGACTGTGGAGGATGTATGTGAAACGGCATAGATGAGAGCAACACATCGCTGGCGTTTTGTCGCCTTGTGGTCGGGTCGGATTCATTGGCATATACATATTTATGCCCATGTATATATAAATATGTATTTTGGTCTATTTGTAAGTTGATTAATTAACACTCTCGTCGCTTTTATATTGTGTTTGCGGAACGACCTTGCAGCTCTTGGCAGCATCTCAGTTTTTATTCAGTGAGCAGAGCAGGGAGCAAACTCATCAGACATGTAACTTTGCCAGCTAGGGAGCCATTCCGTCGATTCATCAAGGAGACAAAAGGAGGAAAATAGACCGACAGGTTGATGGCTACAGGCAGCTGAGTGTCAAACGGCTTACCGGTGATATTCCTGTGAATGTTTAGCTTTAATTAGATCGTGCGCGCCAAGCTCTGCAAAGAAAGAGAGGAACGAGACGAAGACCTCGTCTTGTGTGTGTGTGTGTGTGTGTGTGTGTGTGTGAGAGAGAGAGAGAGAGAGAGAGAGAGAGGGTAACTGCGTCCTGCTCTGCTAGGGAGACGAAAGTAGTTAGAGCTTGCCGTATTGCTGCTGTTAATTTGTCATTTATCGCTTGTAGTACCTGGTCTAGGCGCGTGTCTGCATTCGTCGATCGCGGATTTTTACAGATTGCTGGGCAGAACCACCTCTTTTCCCCACTCTATTTCCCTTCCTTACCCCCTCCTCTCCTCCCCTCTCCTCTTTTTTCATTGCTAACTCTCCCTTTTCCTCTGGTTTTCTCCGCTCTTCTTTCCTCTCCTTCTCATTCTTGAGTGTGTGGAGTGTGTAGCTGCTCGATAGACAAGATTTGGTAGTGTTTTTTTTCCTGCGAGTTGAGCGAATTTTAGGGTTGATCTGTAGACTCTTTCTTTATACACGTTGGATTTTAGGGTTTCTAAAAGACTGCCCATCTGCCTGCCAATACGCGTAGGAGTCCCCTAGGTTTGTGTTGGATTTTAGGGTTTCAAAAAGACTGCCCATCTGCCTGCCAATACGCGTAGGAGTCCCCTAGGTTTGTGTCCTGATGGCGGACGAGTTAAAAGCGAAGGGAAACTCCGCCTTCTCCGATGGCAGGTACGATGAGGCAATCAAATTCTTCACCGAAGCTATAGGCTTGGCCCCTAGCAATCACGTCCTCTTCAGCAACAGGTCGGCGGCGTACGCGAGTCTTCACAAGTACCAGGACGCTCTAGAGGACGCCAAGAAAGTCGTCTCTATCAAACCCGATTGGCCTAAGGGGTATAGTCGGCTGGGCGCTGCTAATGTCGGCTTAGGCAAGTTGGATGAAGCCATAGCTGCATTCAAGCAAGGTCTCAAATTCGATCCGCAAAATGCGGCGTTGCAATCTTCGTTGGCAGATGTGGAGAGAGCGAAAGCAAGGCCGGCTTCGTCTTCCGCCCCACGGGGATCGCCGTTTGGCAGTATGTTTTCGGGGCCAGACTTCTGGGCGAAGCTGCAGACTGATCCGAGAACGAAGGCCTTGCTGACTCAGCCGGATTTTGTCGCGATGATGCACGATTTACAGAAAGATCCTGATAATATAGGTAAGTATATGCAAGATCAAAGGGTTATGCAGGCCCTCGGGGTGTTGCTTGGCATTAATCTGCAGACAGGACCAGGTGCAGATGACAGGTCTGGATATGGCGGAGCTGCCGGGAACGGAATGGAGAAGGAGGGAGGTTCATCTTCATCGCCATCGTCGAGATCGAAACCTTCTTGGCGGCCAAGGGAACCTGAGCCCGAGCCAGAACCTGAGCCCGAGCCCGAACCGATGGAGACGGAGGAGGAAAAAGAGAAGAGGGAGAATAAAGCGAAAGCTCTGGAGGAGAAGAATTTGGGGAATGAAGCATACAAGAAGAGAGACTTCGACGTCGCCATCGCTCATTACTCCAAAGCTATAGAGTTGGACAATGAAGAGATCGCATACCTTACAAATCGGGCTGCGGCATATTTCGAGGCGGGAAATGTGAGTGAGTTTTTTTTTTTCAAATTTTGAAAATTTGTTTGTTTATTCTTATTTTTATTGTTGTTTTAATGCTAGTAAATTCTTGCGACGCACTTCGCGCTTTTTCTTTTTTTTTTGAAATTTTATTTGTTATTCTTATTTTTATTATTGTTTTAATGCTAGTAAATTCTTGCGACGCACTTCGCGCTCTCCTTGAATGCACGTGTTGTCTGCGCCCTGACTTGTTTGTTGATACACGTTTTTAAAGTTTTTTTTTTTTTTTTTTATTGTTAGCTCATGTTCATTGTGCGAATAAAGCAGCGGCCTACTTCGAGGTAGGGAATGTGAGCGTTTTTTTTTTTTTTTCCGGTGGTTCTTGCAATTCAATCTTTTTTTTTTTATGGTTTTTCTGGCCTTTTGCTTTGTGATCTCAACGTTTGTTTTCCGATTGATTTTGTTTTTGTTTTCCCTCTGCGATTTGTGTCTATGTTCTTTTTGTCTCCTGCTATGTGTGGAGTGTTACGGGGGCCGAGTCCCACTAGCAGCGTTGAGCTACCTCAACGCCTGAATCTGGACGTTTTTGGGGAGATGTGCAGAAATGGTGTTGAGTTTCCTGAACTGCACGTCTCCACAAACACGTCCAGATTCAGGCGTTGAGGTAGCTCAACGCTGCTAGTGGGACTTGGCCCCAGGGATCGTTTTTGCTCCTTATTTTTTTTTCTTTTCCCTTTTTCGATCTACATCGGGATTTTGTTTTTTTCTTTTTCGGTATATTTTGGAAACATTTTTTTCGGTTCTGTTTGTTGTCGTTGTGGACGAGGTCTTCGATCAAATGCCTTCTTTTTCACCCTTCTGCACTTCTCTGCCTCTCCCTCTTTCCATCTCCCCCTCTTCTCTGCTCCCCTCCATTGCTCTGCTCTTCCCGTGTGTCTGCTCCCGCTTCTCCGCTTCCCCCTTCGCCTCCTTTCCCACCCTTTTGTCTCCTCTCTTCTCCTCTCTTCTGTCCTCCTTCCTCTCCGTCTCTCTCCCCGTTTCCCGGTCGTGCTCTTTGATTCCTTGTTTCTCTCTGTGGTCATCCTTGTTTTTCCACGCCCTCCTTCCTCTCTCTCTCCGCTTCCGTCGCTTTCCCTCTCCCGTCGCCAATCCTTCCCTTGATGTTGCCGCTCCTTCCTCTGCTTCTCCGTCTCCTGCCTTCCTCCTCTTCCATCTGTTTCTCTTTGTTCCTCTTGGTCTTCGTCCGCATCTTCTTTCCCTCTTCTCATCGTTTTTGTCCTCCGTTTGTTCACGTCCCTCGGCTTCTCTCCATTCTACCCCCTGCAGTCCCTGTCCTCGTTCTCTCCGTTGTTTGTGGTATCCGATTGTTTTGTGTCCATCTTCTCATCCTCCCTCCTTTGGCCTTCTCTTTCCTCACGCCCTCTGTCACCCCTCTTGCCCCATCTCTAAATCCCCATCCATTCTCCGTCCTTCCACTTCGTCTTCTTCCGTGTGTCCTTTCCCCCCCCCCCCCCCCCCCCCCCCCCCCCTCCCTTTTCTCATCTTCTCCCCCTTCGTTTGTACCCCTTTCTCGCCTTCTCTCCATCTGGCCCCCTTTGTCCGCCTCCTCACTCTCCGTTGTGGCATCCGACTGTTTTCGCCGGCCCTCTCATCCTCCCTCCTTTGGCCTTTTCTCTGCTCACGCCCTCCGTCACCCCTCTTGCCCCATCTCTGTTCTTCCCGTTCCTCTTTTCCCAATCTCATCTCCTCCTACCCTCTTTCCTCTCTCCCTCTATCCCGTCGCCCTTTGTCCCCTCGCTCGCTCTCTTCGAAAACAGCTGTGGTCCCCACCTACCCCGTGGGCTGGGGAGAGATCCGGGTTGGTCGGTGTTCCCCCGTACTACACATAGACTTGTGAGAGGATGAGATAGATGCGTACTACCATGAATGATGAAAGAAGAATAAAGCTTTCAAAAAAAAATAAAAAACCCTCTTATGCGCTTGTGAGCCATCAGTACCGTCTTTCCCCGAACACAACGCACCCTCATGTTGGCTGTGTCTGGCTGGAAATATAACTTGTATACATTCATTAAGGGTGCGTTATGTTCGGGGGAAGACGGTAGTGCCTGAGTAGTCGAGGCGACACCTGCAGGCTCAAAGACACGTCGTGTACGTCCGATCTTCAATGCAACGATTAAATCTGACATCTGGTTAAGTCCGACAGCCAAGTCTCTGTAAACGATGGGGATGGCGCGATAGCTATCTGACAGGTTGGTCAGGTCTGAAAGACACGTGTCCAACCGATCTGTTCATCGTGATGGTGCGCGTGTCTGAGAAATGGAGATTAGTTGAGGACAATTATCGTTGAGTATTGAACCGTGTCTGTACCTTTTACGTGTATTAAACCCCATCCCTCACAGCACACGGTCATGCTGTGTACATATGGGCCTCGCCGGGCCACTCAGCCAATCCACAAAAGTCAAAGATATCGCGATGCAACTTTCCATGTTCCAGTGGAAGATTCATTTTTATTTTCAACTCTTGGTGAGTGGTATATGCCGTGATGATATCAACATTCCAACACGCCGAAATGTGTGATGATGGATGTGAGGAGCTGACAGCTGTCTTGATGTTCCACGAACGAAGTTCGATATGCGATCTCGTCGGTACACAGTATGGATGACCCTAGACTTTCGCCCCCCCCCCCCCCCCCCTGCCCCCCCCCCCCCAAGTACAGTACATGTATATAACTCATGAATGTATATGATGGCCACGAAGTGCCAGAGAGGCAAGATATGAACCTGTGACGTCAACGTAGAAATGTAACCTGTGACGTCAACGTAGTAATGTAAACTGTGACGTCAACCTTTTGAAGTGCAGTTTGTCGCTTTCGACCACTCGCCCACTTTCCCGAAGAATTCAGCATCCTGCAGTTACGAACTTGTGTGACGTCAACTTAAAAGGTTGTTGCTCTATCCGCCTGAGCTGAGAATGCAGCTCACTTAAAAGAGGCAACACGCAGCCGCCACAAAAAAAGGAGCATACATCGATCCAGAAAGAAAAAAAGAAAAAAAGCCAACGTCGATGGGATGCTACCGGCATTCGATGGCATGATGGGATTGGGATTGAGTTAGCCAACATCCCATCATGATATCGAAATGCTGGTAGCATCCCAACGACTTTCTTCTTTTTTTATTATTTTTTTTTTTAGTTATGTACGACGGATCAGAGAGGGCGAGTTGATGCTGGCTTGGCATGTTCATTCATTCATTGTTAATTTTTTTTCTTTTCATTCGTTGTAAATTTTTTTTCTTTAATTTTTTGTTTTGTTTTGTATTTTCGGAGGTTGTGTGGGTCGGTTTCTCATTCATCGTCCCATCTTCTTCCCGCCGAACATGTCTAACGGATGCGATTTCGCTATGTAGTTATTTTTTCAAAATTTGCCATTGTCTTCTTTTTTTTCCCTTTTTTTTAAATAGGGCCGTGTCCTTGAGATATCGTCGTTGAACTGACTGACCCTAGGACTCAGAATTGTACTATGTTTTACTCATCTGCTTCCCGCAACTCTCTACCAGTTGAACTCTCGTTGAACTCTCGTTGAACTCTCGTTGAACTCTCGTTGAACTGACTGACAAGTTGGACTGACTCGTCGTTGAACTCTCGTTGAACTGACTGACCAGTTGGACTGACTCGTCTTTGAACTGATTGACCCTAGGACTCATGCAACAAACTTCCAGTTGGTATTGTCATATTACTTTCGCCGAGAAGACTCAGTATATATTGTTATTGATTTTAGCATTGTTCAGTAAAAGAGCATGGATGACCTAAAAAATAAGTAAGTTATAGCATTATGATGTTTGTTGCATGCTGTAAGTATTCCCGTCTGTCGGATTTTTTGATCCTATTCTTTTATATATAATTTTAATTATAGTGCTATGAAATGGTTGGTTGTTAAAAATGGATC